TTCTGTATTTGTTATAATATTTTTTACCAATGGCAAATTGCTTTATTCCAGTTCTAGCATCATCTTTTGATCAACCAAGGTTTGGGATATTTTGGCTATTATTTTAATGTATCAGCTGTTCTGATACATTAATGTTTCCGAATGTTTCTCTGTAAGGCTCGGCTACTTTTGTTGATCTCTTGAACATTAATAATACAATATTCCTAATGGAATGTAACTGTCAGATGATGTTTATCTTCCGGCATATACTAGTTTGAACTCCAGTTAAACTAAACAGTCAGGAAGTACCCAGTGCGTGCCATGGTGATCTTTTCAACATAGCAAAAAGATAAGTCACAAGACTGTGTAATACAGTGTCTATTGTCAGCGCTTGCATTCAATATAAAATTCAGTTGACAGCTGAGCTGCTGTTATTTCATACTCTAATATTATGGAAAACCCAAAACAGTTTAAGAGTGAACATCAAATGTATTCCTTTTCTTATGTTTTTAATATTTATGCCTTTGGTATGGAACTCCTTGGAATTTAGAGGGACTTTAACTGTAGATGCATGAAAGAGAATACAGACAGCAATGTGGATATATTTGGAATTATCTGGAGAGAGGGAAAGAAAATCGGAGGAGGACATAATTGAAATGGAGCAACTCTGGTTGCACAAAGAATTAAATTCTTGTCTCTGCTACACACTCTCTTCAAGTTCTGTATTTTGTATCTTCCCTCTCAAAAGTCCTCCAATTTTTAAAAATTGGTGCCAGCACTTTTTTTTACACATTTATTTACTTATTTATTTTATTTGATTTTTATACCGCCCTTCTCCAGCAGGACTCAGGGCGGTGAACAGCCAAGGTAAAAACATAGCATACAAAATTTAAAACAATTTAAAAAGATATTAAATAGTTTCGGCCCACAATTTAAAAACACCCCAATAAAATCAATTACGAATTAAAACCAAAAGATGGGATCAAGCCAGCCTGGCTAGATGAAATAAGTGAGTTTTAAGAGCCCGACGAAAAGTCTGGAGATCCGGGATCATACGTATCTCTGGGGGTAGGTCGTACCACAGGACGGGTGCCGCCACAGAAAAGGCTCTCCCCCTGGGGGTCGCCAGCCGACATTGTCTGGCCGACAGCACCCTGAGGAGGCCCTCTCTGTGCGAGCGTACTGGCCAGTGGGAGGCTATTGGCGGCAGAAGGCGGTCTTGTAGATACTCAGGCCCTAAGCCATGGAGCGCTTTAAAGGTAGTCACCAACACCTTGAAGCGCACCCGGAAGACCACAGGAAGCCAGTGCAGCTCGCACAAGAGGGGTGTCACATGGGAGCATCCCATCGCTCCCATAATCCCCCGCGCGGCCGCATTCTGGACCAGTTGGAGCCTCCGGGTGCACCCCAAGGGGAGCACCATGTAGAGCATTGCAGTAGTCCAGGCGGGAAGTGACGAGTGCTTGAGTGACCGTGCGTAAGGAGTCCCAATCCAGAAAGGGCGTATTAGGCATATCAGGCGAACCTGGTAAAAAACCGCCCTGGCCACGGCCATCATATGCTCTTCTAAAGACAGCCATGCATCCAGGAGGACGCCCAAGTTGCGAGACCTCTCTGTGGGGGCCAATGACTCTCCCCCAATAACCAGCGATGGCACCAGCTGGCTATATCAGGATGCCAGAAGCCACAGCCACTCGGTCTTGGAAGGGTTGAGTCGTAGCCTGTTTCTCCCCATCCAGGCCTGCACGGCCTCCAGGCACCGGGACATCACTTCAAGGGCATCATTGGGATGGCCTGGGGTGGAGATGTACAGCTGAGTGTCATCAGCGTACTGATGGAACTCCACCCCAAGGCCACGGATGATCTCACCCAGCGACTTCACATAAATGTTGAACAGGAGAGGCGAGAGGACTGACCCCTGCAGCACCCCACAAACAAGGCACCTCAGGGTCGACCACTGCCCCCCTGCCAACACAGATTGCGACTGGTCAGAGAGATAGGAGGAGAACCACCGCAAAACGGTGCCCCCCCCCCCACCCCCTCCCACCGGCGCAACATGATACCATGGTTGATGGTATCAAAATCCGCTGAGAAATCTAACAGGACCAGGATAGAGGAGCAACCCCTACCCCGAGCCCTCCAGAGATCATCCACCAATGCGACCAATGCTGTTTCCGTGCTGTGCCCAGGCCTGAAACCGGACTGGAGCGGATCTAGATAGACAGCTTCATCCAGGTACTGCGGAAGCTGCCGCGCCACCACACTCTCAACAACCTTTGCGACAAAACGAAGGTTGGAGACTGGACGATAGTTAACCAAAACAGCCGGATCCAGAGAGGGCTTCTTGAGGAGGGGCCTCACCACCACTTCTTTCATGGCGGCCGGCAAGACACCCTCACTCAAGCGTTAATAATCCTCTGGAGCCAGCCTCGTGTAACCTCCCGGGAAGCCAGCACCAACCAGGAGGGACACGGGTCCAATAAACATGTCGCGTTCAGCCATCCCAGAATCCTGTCCACGTCCTCGGGAGCCACAGGATCAAACTCCTCCCAGATAACACTCTCAAGACCTGCCTCAATCATCCTGTCTGAACTTACCCAGTCAAAGGCCAAGCCTTCCCGAATCTGAGCGGTTTTATCATGCAGATACTGCACAAAATCCTCAGCTTGACCCTGCAAGGGATCATCCCACGCTCCCAGATGGAGGAGGGAGTGGGTCACCCTAAACAGGGCGGCTGGGCGGTTATCTGCTGATGTGATAAGAGCGGAAAAATAGCTAGATTTTGCCGCTTTTATCGCCACTAGGTAGGTCTTAATATGAGACCTCACCAGTGTTCGGTCAGATTCGGAATGGCTGGTCCTCCAACCGCTCTCCAGGCGTCTTTTCCGGCGCTTCATCTCCCTTAGCTACTCGGAGAACCAAGGAGCTAGGTGAGTTCGGTGCCAGGTCAGAGGCCGCAAAGGCACGATGCGGTCCAAAGCCCCAGTAGCTGCACTATCCCAGGCGGCCACCAAGTCTTCAGCTGAGTCATGAGCCAGAGTCTCAGGAAATGGCCTAAACTCCATCTGGAACCTATCAGGATCCATCAGGCCCCTGGGGCCGAACCACCTAATCGGTTCCGCCTCCTGCGGCACGGTGTAGTGGTTAGAAAGTAAAGTCGAAGGAGCGAGTGGTCAGACCATGACAAGGGTTCAATGACTATATCCCCTGTATCAAGGCCACTCGACCACTGACCAGAGACAAAAACTAAGTCCAGAGTGTGCCCGCCCATGTGAGTAGGGTCATGAATTAACTGAGTCAGGTCCATGGCCGTCATGGAAGCCATGAACTCCCGAGCCGCCCCAGACGTTTCACTGATGGATGGCAGGTTAAAATCCCCCATGACCAAAAGCCTGGGGGTATCAACCGCCACCTCGGCTATGACGTTGAGCAGCTCGGGCAGGGCCGTTGCCATGTGGCAGGGAGCCAGGTACGTGATCAACAGGCCCATCTGCACCCCACGACCCCACTTCACAAAAAGGGACTCACATCCGGCTATCTGCGTTACAGTGGGTTGGATCAAGACCTGCATTACAGAAGGTCGGATCAAGACCTTCCTTTATAATAACTGCCACCACCACCCCCGCCCCTACCTGAGCTCTTGGCTGATGGAATGCGCGGAAGCCTGGTGGGCACATATCCACGAGGGTAACCCCTCCCTCCTGGCCTCCTGGCCCAACCAGGTCTCCTAATACCTGCCAGGTCCACTCCCCCCTCCTGAATAAGATCGCAAATGAGGGGGGCTTTATTTACCACGGACCTGGCATTGCACAACAACAGCCAAAGGCTCAGGACCTGAGAGTCTGTGCAACCTGGGGAACGAGAAGAGCTTTGGGGACCGGGGCATGCCACCACTCGAAGATAGCGAGTGCGCGCCCCCACCACGTGATATGGCCCCCTGCTCCCACCATATCTGCCCCTCCCAAGAATACACATATTCTTTTCTCATGTGTTGTGAGTTACATAGAATTTTCCAGTCTGGTTTTCTGACGTTTTAGCAATAGCTCTACACTCTTATTTTCTTCTTAAAGGATGTTGCTAGATGCTGCTTCTGTGGCACTATGTTTTGATGCTATTTGATGATGATATGAGGAAAAGTGGCAGGCCTATTTGCAAATATGAACTTGTGACAGTGGCTGCTCTAAGCACACCAATGAGGGTCTGATGAGTTTGATCTGATGAGTTTGATCTGATGAGATTCTTACAAAAGAATCACATCTTACAAATCAGGTTTGGGAAACGTGTGGTCGGAGGAACCAGTATTCAATTTCACATATTCCATATGTGAACAAAAAACAGTGAAAATCCGAAAAGTGGCTAATTAGCTTGAAAAACAGCAGAGAACTTCCTTTCTATAAGAATGGGAGAATATAAAACTCTGGTACTATTTGTTTCATATGATCACTGTTCCTCTTGTGACACTTGTTGCCCTAGAAAATGTTTTGAAGAAATCTGACCACCAAAAGGTGTCAGAAGCTTCTGCTAGGGGATCAAAATCCATGTTAATTTGCATCCATTGCAGATCTTTATTATTAAATTCCTCTGTTATTATCTAATCTAATTTAGCAAACTTAAAAATTGGTTCAATAGTAAACTGGCTAAAAAAAACGTTCAAAAGCTACTATTGATGATCAACTGCCTAACTAACAGTTTTCTGTTTTGTTGGTTTGAGATTTCCTGTTCCTTTTTAAGATTAAAATTTAGGAAGATTCATATGTGCCCAATTAATATGTGCTTTGTCCAATGCCTTTCACTTGGATCCATGAGCCCCAGAGAAGCAAAAAAATCATAACATGTAATTTATCTCTGGTGGGGGTTTTTTGGTTCCTTTTACATTCTGATTGGATTGTAAAGGGACAAAGAGGGTGATTTTTGTGATTCTATTTTATGTTTTCTATAAGCAAGACAGTGAAGGCAGATTGTCAGGGTTCCGACCAATGCCCACTCCAGAGGTGCCACAGATGTTCAGGAACAACACTTACTTTAGATCCAATAAAATTGAGAGTAACTGTTCAGCGTATCAACCTTCTCTGCATTGTAGCTTCAGGCTTAGAGATAATCTTCAAGTTATAGACTTATCATCCTTACCAGTGTCCCTTCCAGTCTTAATAAAATGTGGGAGAGAGGAGGAAGTTACATAAAGCTCAATAAAATGGAATATAATCAAACATCTAGTCCATTATCGGTATGAGCCTACACATTAAAGAGCTTGTTCTCGTGTGTATTAGCTCATCCAGGAAACATAACAGAAGGAGATATGTAGGATGCTTGCTCACATTCCTTTTCTTTCTTTTTTTTAATGTTTTGATGGTTTTTCTTTTTATCAGAGGGGCAAAGAGCAGACCGTATCTAACTGTTGACCAGATGATGGAATTTATAAACTTCAAGCAACGAGACCCACGGTTAAATGAAATTCTCTATCCGCCCTTGAAGCAGGAACAGGTTCAACAACTGATTGAAAAATATGAACCCAATAATAGTTTGGCAAAGAAAGGTCAGTATTTGTCATTTTCTTCTATATTACAGTTCTGGCTCCAAGCAATTACAGTGGACATATATGCCTTGTGGCACATACCAGTTCATATTCAATGACATTATTAGCATGCCTGCTTAAGATTTTTCAGTGGTTATAGATTAAATATGTTTGTTGAGCGAACAAAGCAAGTTAAGCTTCCCTGTTGCTTTTCACTTCACAGGATAGATTATTCAGGGCAATGTAAATGTAATCACCAGGACAATAATTAATTTACTAGAGTTTGAAAACTGCAGGGGGGAGCATACTGTATGTGGGAGGGGGGCGGGTTAATATAGAAAACCATCCTTATATCATTGAGTTGCAGCAAAAGATTTCTGTTGCTTGAAAATCCCGGTGGTGGTTTTAGTACAGTTTCCTCTGTACTGGGAAGATGTTACAGGTAGTTCTCGACTTACAACCATTCATTTAGTGACTGTTCAAAGTTACAACTGCACTGAAAAAAAAGTGACCTAATAACCATTTTACATACAACTGTTGCAGTGTCCCCAGCATCACATGATCAAAATTCAGGCACTTGGCAACCGACATGTATTTATAACAATTGTACTGTCTCCAGATCACTGTTTGTAACCTTCCCAGCTGCTTCCAACAAGCAAAGTCAATGGGGGAAGCCAGATTTGCCTAACAACAACCTAATTCTCTTTACAACTGGCGTGCTTAACAACTGTGGCAAAGAAGAGTTATAAAACTGGGCAACACTCACTTCATAACTCCTTGGTTAGCAATGGCAATTTTAGGTTCAACTGTGGTCATAAATCAAGGACTACCTGTAGTTATGCTAAGTGGACTTTTGAACAGATAGAAGTGCATTCCATCATCTCCTGGGAAAAGGTATTCTTTTAGGGAAATCAGTAATCATTTTATTGGCCAAAGCTGGGCTTTCTGCCAGATTCTATGCTTATATTCAGCTAAGCATATGCATTGCAAGAGCCTGGCGTTTTAACATAATGTTGTATTTATGATTTTCATTAAGGGTATTTTGCAGGCTTCCTTGCTTTTGAAACGATTCCATAACAATAGTATAGAGTCACAGGCTGATTAGGTATGGGAGAGGAAGCATCATTGAAAGGGAGCCAATTAACAAAAGGCTAATTCAACTTTAGTTTTTGAGACCTACTGAGCCAAAATGTCTTAATTTTAAAAGTGGGATTTTACATGTGTTTTTGTTTCTCTCTTAGTACTTTAACTTCCCAACAAATGGTTGAATTTTTTTTCAACCATTTAAAGTCCTGAAAAGGACTTTATTAAATTCGGAATGTTCTTAGATATTCCCTTTCCCTTCCTTCCTTCCTTCCTTCCTTCCTTCCTTCCTTCCTTCCTTCCTTCCTTCCTTCCTGTCTGTACTGGTGACTGCCTTACTAGTCCCTGCAGTTTCTTTTTTATTATTATTAAAAAAAAATTTAAAATTTTACAAATATTTTCCCATCTCACCTACCCCCTCCCCAGCCCTCCCCCGCCCAACTTCCCAGAGCAAAATACAGGGTATAGCATTTAACAATCATATACTAACATATGCTAACTATCTATAGGCTCCTATCTCCCTCTTGTACTTTTAACTCCCCTTTTACATGACTAGATTTAAATACTTTCTAAAATCTCTTTATTCATTCATAAACTATTTGAAACTTTTTAATCCGATACTTGTTTTGAATATAGTCAATCCATCTTCTCCATTCCAAAATATATTTTTCATTTGAATGGTCCTTTAAATATGCTGAAATTTTGGCCATCTCTGCTAAATTCACTACTTTTAGTGTCCATTCTTCAATAGTAGGCAAGTCTTCCTTCTTCCAATAATGCGCCACCAAAAGTCTTGCTGCGGTTATTAAATTTAAAATCAAATTAGTCTCTATAACCGTACAATCTGTAATTATATCCAGCAAAAACAGCTGTGGAGTAAACTTTATCTTCTTTTTAAGAATATTTTGCATAATCCACCATACTTTTATCCAAAATGCTTTGATTTTTTTGCATGTCCACCATATATGATAATACGTGGCATCATCACACTCACATCTCCAACACTTGGATTGCAAATTTGGATACATACAAGCTAACTTTTTAGCGTCTAGATGCCATCTATAAAAAATAGTCCCTGCAGTTTCATAGGCACGTTTTTATAAAAAAAAGAAGTGGTTTGTTATTGACTCCTTCCTTGAGGGAGTAACTGGTGAAGGTCAACCAGCAAGAGTAGATAGAACTCACCAATTCCAGGTTTATAGTGTGATGCCTTAATCACCCCACCAAACTGGCTCTCTGATCTCTTTCACTAGCAGTAAAGTGCCTCTCTGCCACCCCCTTAGATAAACCAACTTTAAAAGTAAAATCTTCCTTTTTTTTTCTCCCTCCTAGCCCACTCTCCAAGACTGAGCTGCTTTCCTACTATAAACTCTTCTTCTTACCAGAACAACATGACTGGAAATTGTGGGAATTTAAGTCTCATATACCTGAAGGGCACTTGGTTAGAAAACCCTGAACTATTATGATTAAACAGAAAGAACAATCTTTGTCATTGTTGGCTATCCTTGATAATAGCAGTTGGTTTACTCGACACATTCAAAATTTAATGGTTTAGGCTGTACAAGACTATCTGTCTCATTATCAGACTGTCTACTTCTTAATGTCAGCAAATTAGATTATGTTCTGCTATCAGACTCAGGTTTTCTGTCATCTCCAAGAAGACCTTTTCTTATCTGCCGCTCAAGAACTGTGGAGTATCTTCCATGGGGAGTGGCGTTTGACCCCCTCTTCTCTCAATGTTTAAGAAATTGATCAACATCCAGGCTCTCAAGTTTTAGATGTTTTTAGTATTTATTTTGTTGTTATTTTTCAACCTGTATTTCAACTTTTTCTATTTTGTTTTTGTTTTGAAATTTTGTAAGCTGCCTTCAATGCCCACCAGAGTTGAAGGGGTGTGTATGTGGAGTGAAATTATAAATCAATAAAGAAATGCATACACATTTTTTTTAAAAAAAATTATTAAGTAACGCAACTCAGGTGTTACAAAGTCCCTGGAATATCAATAAACAAAAGCTTCAATTTTTAAAAAGCTTTCTGCATAAGCTCCCACTGAGCAAGACCAAGGTGAGGTAGAATGATTTACTGTAGCTTTAACATAGCTATCTTAGCTAACTATTGTCAAGGCTTTATTTTATCCCACATACATGCACAATGGGGCATACTCTGATGAAAGTATTGTACGTATAATTTCTGGTATTGGCAAAATCAGATGAAAAGGCTATGCTAATAAAAAAAAAACAAGTCATTATACAAATTTCTCTAGGAATTTTTGTATGGCAATGGAGCAAGTACAAGAGCAGTATGTATGCTGGAATTGTTATAAGTGATGATAATCTATTTACATTTCGGGAACAATTTTTGAATATGAGCTATAACTTCCAATCCTTCTTATACAAATAAATATTGTTCACAAATCTGCTATAGCCATGTCATAAGGCATTGAACCTCAGTTAATTCATATTCCAGTCCAGGACTGAGAACCAGGTGCTAGCTAGGGTTGCTGGAAGTTGTATTTCAACCACACATCAGGTGAAAAATTGTACAGACCTAATTACATGGAGCTATCTTTTCGTACCTTGCAGTACAATGGTCCAACTTTCAACTTTCAGTCTTCTCTATTTAATATATTATTTTAGCTTATATTTGATGATTTCTTTATGTACACCAATTTTTTTTAGTGTTCTGGGTAGTTATTTTTAAAAGCACAGATGAAAATGAATGCAAACTTTCAGTGATGCATCTAATAAGAAAAAGCAGTTATGATTCTGCCTCTTCTCAGTTGGAAGGAAAGGTGTGTCTCTTTTCTTGACAGTAGGCCACACTACCAGAAGTACAAAGCATGGGAGGCCTGGTTTTTCCACTTGGAATATACTTTAATAATGCAACACGATTTTCAATACAGTGTTTGATGTAAATCTCATCCCAAGTAAGTCATACTTCATAGTAACTGAGGGCCCCATGAAAGTACAACTTGCAGGGCTAAGCTTTGATGACTTTTTGGAGGAGTCTGCACCACCAAGGCTCCTTTTACTAATTGATTCATCAAGCAATTAGAAAATATTGCTGTGCTTTAGAGCTTACTGCGTGAGAGAGGAATTTCTATTCACATGGATCTTATATATTGGGGTGGGTGGGTGGATGGGAATGGCACGAAATAAGGGCTTACATTCCTGCATTCTCTCTTCTTTTTTCAAGTAGATTGCTGCTAAGCTGATCCATTTTTCTTATATATTTTTTCTTAAATTCATTTTTATAAAGATCATATCAGCTCTAATAACCCTAACTTGAGAAGTCATAAGTTTTCTACAGCCGGTTGAAAGCCTAGAATTAATGCTTGACATGAATGCTCTCTAAGTATTCAGTTTATTATGAAGAAAGAAATGGGAATCTATTCTCGGTCCATTGCAAAGCTCAGAGTTATTTGTTATCACTAGATTTAATCTTTGAATACTTTCTGTATCAATAGATAATAAATTGCCTTCCATTTCTTTACACCAAGTGTCCCTGTTAATGAG